TAGAACATGTTACTTCACTGGAATTTATTTGCGTTACCGATCCGGGCAACGAGGCTTCATGCGAGAATTCATCGAATCATTTCGACTGATCGCGAAACGTAATCCTTTCTCGGTACATGCACAAGCCGAAACTTCCATTCGTACTTTTCCCCTGGTAGATCGCTTCTGAACGAGACGGAACGATCGGAAACTGAGAAATGGCGGCGTCGGAACGGGCGACGTAGCGTTCGGAGTCCGCCATTTTGCTTTGGTCGTGCTCGTTTCGGGAAACTGGCGATAGAGTTAGGGCGAAATAGGTTCGAAGACGCGACAGCCGGGCGTATGGTTCTAATTAGACGATTAACTCGCCAATCCGATAGCCCCGAACCATCGTGGATTTCATTTACCGCTGCTTTCGAAACGACCCGACGAATTGTACGCGCCGGAGATCGATCGACGTCCGCGGCCATTGTTACGGGCGCATCGGCGGAAGGAGTGCGCTTTCACGTTGTAGACTGTTTAGATTTTCCTAATGAAACGGGTTAGCCTAATTGAATAGTTAGGATTTCCTTAGAACAACCGATCCTTTTGCAACTTAACATTTTTATCAGAACAATCCCATCCAACTCGCGACTTAACATCAGATTTTCTACTTTCGATTCGAGTGAAACTTAGAATTTGTCCGTTACATTTTTGAAGTAGCTTCGTAATCGGTAAATCGTTCGATGATACTGTTGTTTACAACAATATTGAGATTAAGAGGGAAGAAAAGATTTCGTTGGAAGTTGAAAGGATCGAATGACGCTTTTGTTATTAGCTCTAGATCCTAGATCCTCCGAAGAGCCCGTAACGCTGCGAACGACCCTCGAACGTTGTAACGACATGTGTGTTGTGTGTTGCGTGAACAGAACCACGGCGGCGATTCGTCGAACGGAATCACTCGATCGAATGCTCAACCCCTAATCTGTGGCTGTAAAGCGAAACGTGGGTTTCAGGTCACGCGTTCCTCGGTTCGAAATGATGCGGTTGGAAGTCTGAACGTTCACTGTTCGTTCCTTCGAAAAGGAGGAATCGAAGTGAAAGATTCTTACATTTCCAAGCTCTTATCGCGTCTCGAGATACGAAGAATGCCTTTATTCACGCGAAGAGTCAGTGAGCCAATTATTTCCGGCAATGAAGGATCCACTGTACAGATTCCAACGCGCAGAATCTCAGCGTGGACGCGAGATACAGAAATTCGTGGTGCAACCGCAAGAAAGACAATAGACAATTCTACTCCGTTTCCTTTCGCGCGCCTCTCGCAACACTTCGTCTCTTTCCTTTCGCGTCAGAGTCACGTTTCCGTTAGATCCGCGGCTAGACCCCGTTCACGCACGCGACGATAGTATTAACACGACCGTACCGCGAACGCCGGGTCATCCCCTAAGTAACGTCGTTTCTTATCTCGCGTTCCCAAGGTACTTCTGAATTTTTAACGTTTCCCGCGAATGGCGCTAGGAAGATCAGCGTCGAGAACTCGGAGGAGATCGTTGGATCTCGTTTTAAAGGATGATAAGTTGTTTCGCGTTAGAAGTCGGTAGAAGAACGGAGGTTACTTACAGGATCACCCGAACGCAGCGTCGACCGTAGAATATGTATGTCTCGTTTTTTCCGTTGTCCTATATTAGGACGAGCCACTGCCTCGCTCTCGAGTTCGACACAACGATGTTTTCTGCGAATAGTAGAACCGGACGAGTATACGCACGGGCGACGGCCGAGATAAAGACAGAAAAAGACAGAGAAAGACATGAGAACGCGCCGATACGGAGGGAGGGCCGAGAAGTTACAGGAGACAGGCGCGAGAACGAATCGCTGGAGTTGCCGAGCGATTCGGTCGCTCGTTAGAATTGCCATAATTATATATAATAATAATAATAATAATAATAATAATAATAATAATAATAATAATAATATGAATATATATATAAAAATGATTATAGTTGTAATAATATATAATTATATAACGATAATTATTCCAACTATTAATATTATTATTATTATAACATACTTTCATACGAAAACAACAAGATGATTTATTTTAATTATGAGAGAAGTTGAACGCGTTGACCATGAAATCTGAGAAAAATTCGTGAAGCAGAAGTTGAACGATTTGGCCAACGACTCGATCGCAACGAAGGAAATTTAATGACGCGCGATTCCGATCAGCCCGGTAGTTCCAGCGACCGATTTCTGGTGCACGATCGACAGCACGAACGGATCCACCGAGATCCGGAGAAGCTTCTAGCGTTTTTTCGTTGCTTATCGGTTCACGAGCTTAGAGAATTGCGTAGAGAATCACGTTCCCGCGAGAGTTTCATCGGTTTTCGCCGAACCGTTGCCAAGATCGCGGTCGACGATCGTTGAACGACGGAAACTCGGAAGTCAACTCGTGGATCAGTCCCTCGTCGATTTTAATCATTTTTAACAGCGACTAGTGCATCTGAACGAATTCCACGAGCACTTTCCCTGAAAATCGTCTGTCTTTTTAATAACTCTGAAGGAAGAGACGTCGAATGTGTCGCGGAAATCGGTATTTTCGTAACAGGATCGACAATGAAATCGGCATTTTGAAATTCTCGCGTGGAAACTACGGGGGTAGTTGAGACCTCAGTGGACTCGTAGTTTGGGTATTAATCATCATCATCTTTAGTGATTTCTTAGACTTGATTCGTTGATTTCCACAATCGTCAAGGGAGAGATTAGGAATAGGTGATTCCGATCTAGCGGTTCTAGCGTTGAAGGTCACCGAAATCTAGGCAACCAGTTCTATACTTTCTTTATCCTTCGCATCTGTTTTGTACACCTCGTTGTCTCCACGTTTCGGGTCCCCATTCGTCGAACACCACGTTCCGACACGTTCCGAACACCCAGAGTTTCCGTAAAACCACTTGCGCTCGAAGAGTCGCGAATTCTTCGGTGGTCCAGCGCGTTCGCTGCCAGCGGTTCCGTCGAACGCGATGTATTTCTCAGAGAATACCGAAACGATTGTTAAATCGGAAGAGAAGAGTCCACTTCGACGGCGTCTCGAAAAGCGCAGAAGGAACTACCGATTTGCGTCGGAGACGTATAACGCTGGTGGCGATCGCGTCGATCGAGAGGTCCACGGAAGAGAGATTCGCGAGAGAGATCGAAGGAACGGGAGTAAAGCGACGAGCCGGCGAAGGCCGCGAGCCTTGACGAAGAAAAAGACAACAGGACACTGCTCGAGCGATCGCAGCTAACCAGAACGCGCGACACGACTAATCAAAAGAAACGAGTAACAAGGGAATCGAAGCCGAAGAGGACAGTCTCGCGTCGCTTGTCAAGATCGCGCATTTAACGTGAGCATTTCAACCGAACCGAGTCGAGTCATCGATTGCAGTCAAGAAACAGGATATAGAGATAGATAGAGAGAGAGAGAGAAAGAGAGAGATAGGGAGAAAGGAAGAAAGAGGGTGAGAGAATGCGTGCAAGAGAACG